CCTTTCTTTTTCAGATCATATTTCGAACAATTGGATATCCAATACATCGGTCTTTGTTTTATGAATTCCATGTAGTCATAAATTCGACAGGGGTGTCGAAATTATAGACACTCTGAACGTAATTTCGACACTCTTTGAAAAGTCTTGTATCCAATCGTTTATAATTGTAGGTGAAAGGAAACTATGCCGGGCGACAAAAAATATTGCAAATACTCCAAGGAGGATGTGAAAAATGCCCTTGAAGCAATTAAACATGGGGTGTCATGCTCAACAGCCGCCAAACAATACTGTGTTCCCAGAAAAACTCTTATAGGAAAAAAATCTGGAAAATATCCAGTAGAGTGCAAAAGTGGTGTTGGAACTATTCTTACAGAGAATGAAGAAGATCTTTTATCCAAATGGATCATCAATATGGCAAGGATGGGCTTTCCGATAATCAAGACTCAGCTAATCGACAGTGTAGCTATTTTGGTTGATAAATTGAAACGAGACCATAATTTCCATGAGGGGCGTCCAGGACGTCGGTGGTATGAGGGGTTCCTGAAAAGGCACCCTGAAATCAGCCAACGCATGAGTCAAAATTGAAGAATTGGTTTCAAGAAATTCAGAACTATTTTCATGATGAGGGCATCGATATTACTGAGCCAGAAAGAATATTCAACTCTGACGAGTCAGCTTTTTTTCTGTCCCCGAAGGGCAGCAACGTGTTGGCTCCAAAAGGCTGTAAGACTGTTTATGATCGATCTGGTAACGACAAGGAATGTCTCACTGTTCTCATAACAGGTAAGCCAGAGCAATAGAATTCTCTTTCACGAATATTTGTTAACTGGTCAATATTTCAGGAAATGCAGCAGGAAAATTGGCATCTACCATGATAATGTATCCATACGAACGTATTCCCAAACACATCGTAATGAAGGTTCCAAGTGGCTGGGGAATCGGAAAGTCTGAGAGCGGATGGATGACTGCCGAATCTTTTTTGAATACATCACAAATATATTCCATCCCTGGTTTTTCGTGAACAGATTCAATTCCCAATTATTCTTTACGTTGATTACCATAAGTCTCACTTAACATCACCACTGAGTGATTTTTGCCGAGAAAAAGGGATTATTCTGATCAGTCTATTGCCAAACTCAACCCATATTCTCCAACCTCTAGATTCAGGTCTTCAAATAATAGCTGGAAGAAAAGGGTGAGGAAGTTTAGAACTGAGGAGGGTCAGAAAGCTTTGAATTTCGCACCAGTTCTGAAAGATGCACTAAATGAACTACATAACATTGAAAGTATATTCAGCAATGCTTTCAGAACTTGTGGACTCCATTCAATGTGATGAATGTTGATTTTAGTAAGGTTTTATTAGGAAGCGAATCAGCCCAACATGACAATCAAAATGATCTGAACACGGTTGACCAGACTATAGTAGCTCATTTGCGATTTTTTTAAAATGTAATAGAACCAGATATTGTTCGTAAATTTTATGCTCTGAAGGGCATCAAGTGGTCCGAAGATCTTGAAAATAAACAACTTTATTTCATATGGTACAAAATTTTCAAAATGTCAGGATTGGAATTTGCCAATGAGAAGACTAATGTAGTCATGGGAGATGAGGCAAAAAATAAACCATTGGAAGTTGTAGAAAATGTTGTTATCGAGATAGAAAACGGATTACAATCCGCCGGCAAGAGAAAAAAGCGATCAAATAAAGACAATGAAGAAAATAAGGAAAATGAAAACAGTGGAAATAAGGAGAAGAAGAACGTTGAAAATCAGGAGTCTGAACTAGCAAATACTCAACAAACAATTGAACTTGTTATACCTGAAACCAAAGTAAACGATTATGTTGTGATAACGTATGAACAAGAACTTTACCCAGGCATTATCACGGAAATCAATGACACCGGCGTGAAGGTGAAGACTATGTGTAAGAGTGGTCCCAATCACTGGAAATGGCCAAAAGATGATGAAGAAATCTGGTACAGTTTAGAAGAAATTGTAAAAAAATCGGTCCACCAGGACAAGTCAATAAAAGAAATGTTTTTGAAGTCAAAGAACTTACCAAAACCATTGCTTGAAAACGGAAATCTCAATTCTGGAGTTTTGTTTGAATAAATAGCATTTTTGAAAAAATTTCAAGGTTCGTATGTAATGTCCCTCTTGGATTTTTTTCGCACTATTTGTTCTGCACATTGATAAAACATAAGATGAATAACGGAATGTCTGAATCAGGTACGTCTTATGTCAGATTTAGAAACACTGTCGAAAATAGGCTCAAATCTCGTCGAAATTAAGGCCAATCTGCTCCGATTGCTGTCGAAATTGCGTACGATGGTATTATCATCGGAAACATTATTTTCCTGCAATTCTGTATATTCCAGAGGTCTGATCGAATGATATCTTTTATAAATAGGTGACAATGAGAGCTACATAAAATTTTTCAACTCGCAAGGCTATTTCAATAATTATAATGATGTAATAAAATTTCCTCTATTTTTAAACTGTCTGAAATAGGGTCACTTACCTTACTCTAGTTGGGGCTGATTCTGAAGAAATAAGCGATGAACGAGAATCTACAGAATCAAATTAAAAATATCTCAATTTCAATTTTTTTTACCTTCGAAAGTTCCTTATATGTATTCATTTTTTGAAGCTAACAGGTAATAATAATATTTTTGTTTCAACATTCGCTTTTTTCTAATGTAACATTTACCAATTTTTTTGCAGCTACACAGATATTCAGTTTCTTCTCCGAATCTAATTTGAAAACACTCAAACCAAAATTCGGTCTTGTAAAATTTAAAATTCACTATTTTTCTAATTGAAAACATGTTATAAGTAGATTTCTATACCTAAAATTGGTGAAAAGTGATATGTGATAGTATGATATAAAAAAAAAACTCACAATTTCCTTTTTCTATGATTAACATTCTGTAGTATCAGTAGCAATATGCTAGTGAAATTGAACAGCAAAGAATTGGCAACAACACGTACAGCTTGGGAATACCATACCCTAAAACGGCCAGAATTTTTCATCGCCATTTCCTCAAATCATAGAATAATTTAGACATATCCCAATTCCCGAACACGCGCCAATTGTTGCTTTGGTTCAATAGTAGGCCTGCCCTCTGGATGATTATTTATCAATGATGGGCCAATAGATGCTAAAAAACTTTCAAATGCATTCAATGTTAAGCGGAAATGCATTCTGAATTGTCCTGCAGTGAGGTTTGGAATAGTGGTGAAGGTGTAGTTTTCTATCCTAACTGGTTTCTGTCCTCTGCGTCCCTGTAGGGGAGAGTCACCTAACTAGGCATAGTTCCCAAGTAGGCATAGTCGCCATATTTCCCCTTCCATCGGATATTTTGGAGAACTGTACTGTTCCATGTCGGCATAACGAATGTTTTAGTTGTCCTCTGAATGTTGAAGGGTGTATGCGGCCTCTTTAAAGTTTTACGAGAAAAAACAATATTTGGTGAGTACTGATATAAGAAATGCTTGCATTATTTATATCCAATCCTGCTTGTTGTTTTCTATTCATATTTGTCCATGAAGGTTCAATAACCATTACCTTGCACCCCATATGATGTATTGAATATTGCATACAAGATTGGCGTAGAAAAAAAATAATTCTCAATTTGTGCAGTTTTTGCATGATGGCATACCTAACATTGACCTATAATGGCATACTATGCCATCATAGGACTGTGTTGTTCAACTATCTGTTTTTTCAGAAAGTAATGGCGGAAAATCAGAAGAGACATCAATGGAGTGAATTGGACATGAACAAGGCAATTACAAGCATTAAAGAAGGTCATATGGGATGGTTACTAGCGTCCAAAACGTTCAATGTCCCATTCACAACATCGAGAAGAAGAGTGAAGCAACAAAAAGATGGCAAAAAGGGGGATTTGGGAGGAAGGAGACCAATTTTTGATAAAACTCTGGAAGATAAACTGACTAAACGATTACCAGATTTAGAAACCAGGTTTTTCGGTATAAGTCCTGTAAATTTGAGACGTATAGTCTATCAAATGGCTGAGAAATACAAAATAACTCATAACTTCAATAGGAACACTGAAATGGCTGGCAAGAAATGGTTGAAAGGTTTTCTGAAGCGGAATCCAATCGTTTCAGTGAGGACTCCTGAGAAAACCTCATTGGCCAGAGCACAGGCATTTGATAAAGAAAATGTGAAAGCCTATTTCAACGGGTTAGCTGAAGTATTAGACCAGTATCAGTTTGAACCTGAACAGATTTTTAATATGGATGAAACTGGTCTCAGCACTGTTCAGACAAAACCTCAAAAAATTTTAGCAACGAAGGGTCGGGAGCAAGTCGGAACACTAAGCAGTGCGGAAAGAGGACAAAACTTCACTGTTGTTTGTTGTTTAAACGCTCTGGGACAGTTTATCCCCCCAACATTAATATTTCCAAGGAAACGATTTAAAGAAGAATTGATGGCTAATGCGCCATTACAAAGTATAGCTTTGTGTCAAGAGAACGGATGGATGTCTTCGGAACTGTTTGTTAAATGGCTACATCATTTCATTCAGTATGCTAAACCTACTCCAGAGAAGAAAGTGCTTCTTATGCTAGATGGACATTGCAGCCACGAATCTCTGGAAGCTCTAGAGCTGGCAAAAAAACATGGTATCGTGCTTTTTTGCTTTTCAGCTCATTGCACACATAGATTGCAACCACTTGATGTTGGTATCTTTGCCCCTTTGCAAATTCACTACAATCAAGAAATAGAAAAATGGCTCAGAAATAATGCAGGCAAGACACTTACTCATTTCAATGTAGCCGGGCTATTTAATTTAGCTCAGTTGAAAGCATGCACGTCCGCGAGTGGGATAAGTTCATTCTCGAAAACTGGCATTAGTCCGTTTAATCCTGATGTATTTGAAGAGTGGATGTTTGCACCATCTTTGACAACAGATAAAGAGAACGTGAACTCTGCAGCAAATATTATCGAGTTGCAACCTTCCCAATCAGTTCAGCACTCTGGCATGGAAGAAGCTTCGACTTCACAAGAAGGCCTGGAAGAAGCTTCAACTTCACAAGAAGGCCAGGAAGAAGCTTCAACTTCACAAGAAGGCCTAGAAGAAGCTTCAACTTCACAAGAAGGCCTGGATGATAGCATAGCTGAACTTTTACCACTACCAGTAGCACCAGCTGATGATGTACCACGAAAGAAAAGAAAAAAGGGTAAAGTAGGGTTTTTGAACACATCTCCATATATTCTGGAACTCAAGCAGAAGGTGGAAGAGAAGAAACTGCAAGAGAGGCAGAAGCTGGCACGTAAAGCCAAAAGAGATATTGCCAAACAGGTTAGGATCGAAGAGGAAGAGGAAGAGGATGAAGCTTTCCCAGCTGATGGTGATGAGAGTGATTCTGCCTGCATTTATTGCAATGAATTGTACTCCAGAGATCGCGCTGGAGAGCCCTGGATACAGTGCCAAATATGCTCTTATTGGTCTCATACTGACTGTGCTGGTGTTGATAGACGCACTAATAATTTCATTTGTGAAATATGTTCTTGATGTATGCCAAAATTATAAATGGGTATTTTTAATTTTTTATGCTCTGAACTAACTGAGCATAGCTTGAATTAGTTTTTATTTGATAATCTGGAATGAATATGTTATATTTTCATGAAATATTTCATCTGCACAGAATGTGAATATGTTTTCATTGAATAAAAATTGTTTTAAATTTGCCTTCATTCGATAAAAGTCATCTCTCTCATGGAAATGTAATTGCTTGTATAACTATGTATTATAGAAAATTGAGTATGCCATCACAGGAAATTGAGTATGCCATCATAGGAAATCAAGTATGCCATCAAATGATATTATTATATTAAGTGCCTATGATGGCTAAAAATATGTTTTCGTTTTTATCAGAAAATCTTTTGGAATCCCAGTCCTTGGCAATGCTGTTTAATTATATAGTGATGGAAAACTAGAGACTGATGAAAAAAATTTACTCGAATATCGATTAGTCACTTAGATATCGGGATTATTCGTTAGGGGTGCCATCATAGGTACTTCTCCCCTACATGCAAGACAACTGCTACCAATTCTTCATCTGAGGAAGATTCTTCTCCACTTTCCTAAGATTATAATAATTAATGATAATCTTGATTAAAAAATAAAATATTGATTACGTTCACATACATTTATGAGTTCCCAATATTGCATAATGGTATATTCATATACAATATTTTATCTCAAAAAATTATTTCAAAATCTCAAACCTCAATACTGAAAATCTGTCAATCTGTCAACGAAATGTTACATTTGACATTTGTCAGCACAAGTTTGAGAACGGCTACTCTGAGTAACCATAAACAACATATTTCAAATCTGGGCCGCGATTCTTGAAAATCGGGGAGTAGAACAATCGAAAGAAAGTGGGCGTGTCCACTGTCCGAAACCAAAAACCGTATTCTTGAACTGAATAACACAAGAGGAGCGCTCCCTAGGGAGTTACTAATGCATCTATCAAGATTTTTGAGAGAACCAAAACGGGAACGCTTCTGATTGGCTCCCTCTGTTATTGAATTGAATAAAAATATGACAACTCTCTCAGTCTCATCAGTGATCAAAGGTTAGCTTTTTTGAACTTCCATATTTCGTAGGATTTCGATTGTGCTTTGGATTAAAAAACATATGAATGAAGATATTCTGGATGTTGAACAACAAAATGACGTTGGTGTGGTTTATACTTTCCAAACAAAACCCTTTTGAGTTGTCTGATCAAAAATTTTTGTAAATGCATGTTACGTCTAGCAAAATGTTTAACGAGGCAACTGATTAACATTGTGAATCCTCATATGGAAGCACCCACAAGAGCTTCTGCTCTCACTGTAGAGACTAAGGTATGTCACATCAACTACCTATATCTTCAGCTGGCGAGGTGTGATTTTCACCTCATGACCAATTTGAAAATGTTTCTCGAATGATAAATAATAACTTGGAAAAAATTATATTCATTCAACGTTCTCCTTCACCATCACCCTTCACCTTGTCTGTAGAATGTCAAAATGCCAGAAAATAATCGTATCTGATTGGTCGTCACCTTTGGCAACACTTGGCAACACCGTCTATCGGGGAGCTATGATTTTGCTCCCTCCCTCTTGCTCAAGAATACGAATGATATGAAGGAGTAGAAACAAATCGGGGAGCGCTCCCCAGGGAACATTCTACTCTATCACCGTCAAGAATCGCGGCCCTGGTGACCGTACTCCTGCCCCGCTTCCGTTCGTACTTCAAATGTCAAAAATTTACTTCCTCTTCTCGTCATAAGCTTTTAAATTTTCTGACTCTTGACAAATTGCGGTGTTTTAGGTTATGATTGCCACTGATTCTGTTTTGATTTTGATATTATCATTTGAGTTTTTGTTGAAAATCTCATCATGAATAATAAAAGTGAATAATAATTCAAATTAGAAATTTCAGGTGGTGATATTGTAGAGCGATACAAAGAGAAAATCAAAGTCATTGATTCAATTGATCCCTATTCTCTGCCGATAAATGAATTAGAAACCGAGACTCGGATATTTCCTGGGGTCATTTCAATTGATATATTGACATATTTAGTGTTATCTCATAGTTTTTATACTGCAGAGCAGATGAAATCTTATAAAAGTTTGAGTGGGTATAAATTTCTTGAGTCAGGTTTTGTACAAATATTTGGAGTGAAGAAAATTAGTGGCATGTTTGTTGTTCTAGGCAAGATAGTCATACAATGAGTGGATAATTGATACCCGTTAAATATTCGATGTTTTTGTAGGTGAAACATTCTCAAAGAATGACATTACCTTCATTAGATGTTTGGGTATTGTGTGAAAGTGATGGAGGAATCAATACGGCCCATTGCACCTGCATGGCTGGGCTGTCAGAAGTTTGTAGTCATGTTGCTGCTTGTCCTTATAGCTTGGAATGTATTCACAACTGCAGAACTGCCCAGTCATTTACGGATATTGAGGCAAAATGGTTGAAACCTTCACCATCTAATGTTCCTCTTGTCAGCCTTAAAAATCTCAAACTGAGAGAAAATCATGCTAGAGTTAGAACAACAGTAACTCATGTCCCACCAATAGAAGGACAAGAGCTTTCAGAAATGTTGAAATCCTCAAGGGAAGTTGGTGATGATGTTGCTCTATGCAGAATAGTTGAACCATTTTCTACAGACATTGCAAATAAGAGGGGACCTGTACAGTTGCTACATGCAGTGTATGATATTCATAAAATTGAATATGAATCTCTGGCATATGAAGAATTATATCATATTGCTGAAGGCTTTTTGATGAATCAATGACTCAAGAACAATGTGATATTCTGAATAAAAGAACCATTGGGCAGCCTCCAAATTCGAAAGTTTTTGCCATACCAATATTGAGAAGCCCTCAATATCTCTAATAAAATCAGTATGTTATCCAATGAAATTCAATTTCAGAACAAAAGCTACTGATTGGGGTTTAGAACATGAAAGGATTACTTTGAAAGGTTACTTGGAAAATAAGATTGATAATCATGAGAATTTCATTTTGAAAAATTGTGGTTTGTTTGTGGATCCAAATTTTCCTGCGTTTGGTGCATCTCCAGATAGTATGGTGTCATGTAGTTGTTGTGGAAAAGGATGTATAGAAGTAGAGTGTCCCTATTTATTGAAGATTGTGGACATACGCGATTATCTTCCAATGAAGAATTCTTGTTTAACCAGTGATGGCAGTAATGTGTATTTGAAACGTGACCATGCATATTATTATCAGGTCCAGTTGCAACTAAAACTCACTCATTCCATGTTTTGTGAATTTGTGGTGTAGTCTCCAAGAGGATTTTTTGAAGATAGGATATATTTTGATGAAGATTTCTGGAATAGAGAATTTTCCAAAGCTCTCCATTTCTTTAAGAAGATTATTATATCACCAGAACTATTGAGGAGATATTTCACTCAAGGGCGCCACCTGAATAAAAGATGGTGTGTATGTGATATGGATGAGGATGGCAAGCCCATGTTGAAATGTGCCAATGATATGTGTGATATACCTTGGTTCCATTTAGAATGCATGGATGATGTTCCAGAATCTTTATGGTTGTGTAAAGCCTGTCACAGTTGATGAGAGTCAACATCTAATCCAAAGTTGCCTCCAAAAGCACTCAAAATGCTGGCCTTTGAGTGAGTTACAGGAGAAATCAAATTGAATAAGATCAGGAATTGAACCCAATATATAATTTCTTCACTGATATTCTTTGCAGCTAGGTCTATTGATTATTAACGGGTTGCAAAGTAACTTTTCCAGAGTATCTTGAGAACTTCCAGGATTACTTCAGCAACAAAAGAGATGGACATGCTTTTGCAGATGCTCATCTGACAATGGAATTCTCTCCAAAATAGAGTATGATGAAGATAACTCCACAAGAAGTGAAAATTTCTATCTTTTCCATACCAAGATTTCTCTTTTCAAAATCTTTTTCGAAACAAATTGTCACTGACAAGCAAATGATTTTTTCTTTCAAGCTCTGATGGAAGAATTTTTAAACGCAGTGACATTTTGGGGCAAACCATCTGGTTTGTCCTCACTACAGGTTTATTGAAATAATATTCATGTTTTTATTTTATAGAGATGTGAAAAAAATCCCCAAGCATCTGGAATAATCAAAACATCTATCTTCAGTGACTCTGGTGTCATTATGTCAGACCTCTGCTGATGTGATTTTCTTCAAAATGAATTAGAGGAGCATCCACCATTTTCTGTCCTAGGCAGACATTATTTTTTCTTCAACACTTTACCTAATGCCTTATACAACTACACATATTCTAGAACACCACTTAGTTACTTGAACCAATGAAATCACAGAACATGTGGGTTTCAGTTTCAATCTGGACATATACTTATGTATTTATGCACATATAATATATACAAAATATATGAGGGCACTTAATCCTATAAATCCAAATACAACAATAACAATACACTACTATAGAAGCATCAATGACTAGGAAATTTGGATTCATCAAAAAACACAATCTTTCAATATCATCAAGGAAGTAGCAGTTCTCTTATATTCTGAACTAGTGTTCTCCCAGATAGCACAAATTGTTCTAAGAATATTCAGAAAATCTCCTGAGGGAATATTCCATAGATATTTCCTAAGATCATTTTATGGATATTCAGGGAATAACTGAATATTTTCAGAATAATTCGGGAATAGTTTTTTAGAATAATTTGTGAATATTCTCAATAGTATATTCGGAAAATAAATTTTTGAAATGATGTATGTATAATTCGATTGGATAACCTTATAATATATTTTGAAGAATATTCTGTCAATATTATTCATGGAATATTTATTCAGAATGAAAATGTGCTGAATATTGATAATTGACAAGATTAACAAGTGGTGTTCCTAAAAGACATGATTGTGTAAATATTCCAAACATCCAACAAGATCACAGTCGGCTCTAAAGCCCGGCGTGGCAAGATAAAGTAAGGACGTCTATGTACGGAAGTGGAAATTTTTCAAAGGAAAAA